CTTTACCCTGCTAACTACGTGGAGGTGGTGTAAAACCACAGGACAGCATGGAGCTCCAGCTCTGGGGTCCGTAACTGCCTACAGACGCCCAGGTTTAAGCCTGGTTCACAGCCATTTTTTTTGAAGATTGCTTTGTTTTCTGTGAGCGGATGGTACACAGGTAAAGGTTTAGAGTTGAATTGAGTGCGTTAAGTTGGGATCAGAATGAGAAAATGTTTCCAAAGTTCTTTCACTACGATCTTACTTGAGAACATTGTAATGTTATATTTTATTGTGTGTCACATTGTAGCTTCAAGTCAAAAATATGCAGAGATTTTCATACATTATAATATGATTAGGTACCGAGATCCTCTAATATATATGGAGAATATGAACTGCATTGTCTTGATGCTTGCATGAACCTACAGAGTACTTTAAGGACAATGTCTCACACCAAAGACTTCACTGCTTATTTACGTTTTATCATAGACATGTTTCTTCTGACGAAAATTGCGTTATATCTGATGCCTGTGTAAAAGGGGCCAGATGGTTATGTCATCTTCAGCTACAAATTTCACGCAAGATGTTAATAGGTTTGATAATATGCTATTTTATTCCCCTTTGGTCTTGCTTGTAAATGTAACTTGTCTCACATTTAGTAATTTTAGTTACACAAAGGCAGTACTAATCAACACCTCTTTAAAGTGATAGCCATGGGACCCATTATGGTCTCTTCTTGTGTATTTCTGTTGTGTTTTAAAATGTCAGTCTAACCAAAGAAAATGTATGCAAATGAGCACAGTGTTTGTTTGTGCCGTAGTGCAAGTAAATTACATTGGATCAGGGCAGTATTTTCTGCACCATCACTAATCTAATGCGAACGCTAGCAGTATTAAAAGGGATACATATTACTGTGAGTCTTGCTCTTATTAATCATCTTGAAAAAAAAAACATTCAGTAAGCACATACACATTATTATACATAGACACATTTTATTTGTACTGTTCATATTTCACTCTGTGCATGTCCTGAGGCCACATGTTGGTGCAAATATATGGGGCTGTAAATAAATGTTGGTGTGTGTGGGTGTGTGTGTAATACTCGGCTATAATTGGGGGACAGAATTTTCTAAAAAAGATTTGTAAATGTTTTTGAAAGAAGTCTCTTATGCTCACCAAGGCTGCATTTATATGATCAAAGATACAGTAAAAATAGTAATATTGTCAAATATTATTACAATTCACAATAACTTTTTCATTTTAAATATTTTTGTTGTTTTTTTTTGGATTTGAAAGAAGTCTTTTATGATCATAAATACAATAATAAAAATAATAATTTAATTGCAATTTAAAACTACTGCTATTTTAATATATTATAAAATGTAAATTTTTTTCTTGTGGTGGAATATCTGAATTTTCAGCATCTTTACTCCAGTCTTCAGTGTCACATGATCCTTTAGAAATCAGTATGGTGATATACGGCTAAAAAAAAAAATCATATTGATATCAATGTTGTGCTTGATATTTTGGTGGAAACTACAATACATTTTTTCAAGATTCTATGATGAGTAGAATGTTTAAAAGAATAGCATTTATTTTATATTTAAAACTGAAAGACAATAAAAAGTTGATCACAAAAAAAAGAATAGCATTTATTTGAAATAGAAATCTTTTGTAACATTGCAAAGCCGTCTCTTTTCGATCAGTTTAATATATATTAAGTTATATGTGTGTGGACTCATATATGAGTCAGCCTGCTCACGTATCTCAGGATTTCAGCTCTACTGGACCCCGCAGCACATCTTTTAATAGTGTCAGATCATTCAGTGTGTTGCCCTGAGTGGTTGTCACACACATTCTCACTCATATACATGCTTTTCGTGCATCATGAGTACATGAGTCAGAAATGTTCCCACTCTGAGCCTGATTTTCCTGGGGTCAATTCCTTTCCCACAGTTTTGAGCAACATTAACCTTTCCACTTTGCAAAAATAAGCACAGCCCATAAATGTGCTGATTACTGCTGGTTGTCTGCATAAAATTTCTCACAGGGAAAATAATTGCGCTCAGGCTAAGTAAAGCTGGCATAAGCTATGAGTAGGTCAATGACGCAACCAATTTCGTCCAAAAAAAATGTGCTTTTACTTTTCAGTTTTTTAAACTCTTACAGACATACTGTTTGCCAAGCAAAAATGTAGGTGCTTGCTTTCATTGCATGTGTCACAGTAACTATAGTGAATTAATACCTGAGAACAGTGATGAGGAGGGCGCCTACTTATTAGGCCTAGTGAAAAAAAGGAAAAATTGTGCAGATACTGAGCATTTTATCCACATTTCGTAACTCTCAGATGCCAGGACAATTGTTGCCCTGTACTGACTATTCTTATGTAGCACTTACACCAATGTGGTGTAAGCTTTGGGGTTATTTTAAACAAAAAAGGCTTCTAATGATGGTAAATAAAGGCTTTTTAAAGTTGTTTTCCTGCTGGTAGGTACATTTCTATAGGGTTTCTGAGGAAAGGGGAAAATATGCCTTATTTAAAATAATTAACATTTTCTGCCAATACTATCACAACAGGGCTTTTATGTGGATTCTACAAATCAACTGGCTAAAATATTATTGTGATGATACACTCATTTTTGTACACAAACGTGTGTGTATGTATATATATATATATATATATATATATATGCAGTGGAAGTCACTTTGGATAAAACCGTGTTGTCATGTTATCAGATTCATAATATCAGTTAGCACAGTATAATCTGTTTTGAAAAGTCACGTCTGCATCACGAGAACATGCACAAAGCCTGGAGTGCGAGGAACCACCGCGTCACCCGGGCGTTCGTGTCCTTCGCCTTGGACATCCATTGTAGTGGCGCATGGTCTGTGACGAGGGTGAACCGGCGGCCCCAGAGGTAGTACTTCAACTCCAGGACTTCCCACTTTATGGCCAGGGCCTCTTTCTCCAGCGTCGCGTACCTGGTTTCCGCGGGGGAGAGTTTCCTGCTGATATAGACCACGGGGTGTTCCTCTCCATCCCGGAGCTGGAAGAGGACTGCACCTAAGCCGGTGCTTTCCTGGTAAGGTCTGACAGGGGCCAGGCTATAGAGGAGAAGTTAGGAATGAAGCATCGGTAGTAGCCCGCCAACCCCAAAAATGCCCGTACCTGCGTCTTGTTGACGGGACATGGGAACTTCTTTACCGCCTCGATCTTCTTTTCCTGGGGCATAATGAACCCTCTTCCAATTTTGTAACCGAGGTACTTTGTAATGCCAGTGGCCATTGGGAGGGCTAAAGGCTGTCTTCTCCCGGGAGCCCTGGGAGAGGGGCACCTGCCAATATCCTCTGGTGAGGTCCAAGGTGCTGATGTATCGAGCTTTGCCCAGCTTTTGTCCAAGAGCTCATCCACCTCGGGCCGGGGAACCCACTTCTTGAGCAAGTTAACGTGGTAGATTTGCTCCGTTCGTCGGCGGCCGGGTTGCCGCACACGGTACGTAACCGGTCCCATTCGTTCCCCTACTGTGTAGGGTCCCTGCCAGGTCGCTAGGAACTTACACGCAGCTGTGGGGAGCAGAACCACCACACGATCGCCCGGCTGGAACTCCCGGGCTTGGGCAGGCCAGTCGTACAGGCGTTGCTGGGCGCGCTGGGCTGTCACGAGGTGTTCTTTAACCAAGGGCATGACTCGGTCAATCCTTTCTCTCATTTCCCGTACGTGCTCGACGAGGCTACGAAGGGGGGCGGGTTGGTTCTCCCACGCTTCCCTAGCGACGTCTAGAAGGCCCCTGGGCTGTCTCCCAAACAGCAGTTCGAAGGGGGTGAAGCCTGTGGAGGCCTGTGGTACTTCCCGGACTCCAAAGAGCACGTACGGTGGGCGGGCCGGTCGTACAGGCGTTGCTGGGCACGCTGGGCTGTCACAAGGTGTTCTTTAACCAGGGGCATGACTCGGTCAATCCTTTCTCTCATTTCCCGTACGTGCTCGATGAAGCTACGAAGTGGGGCTGGTTGGTTCTCCCAAGCTTCCTGAGCGACGTCTAGAAGGCCCCTGGGCTGTCTCCCAAACAGCACCGGGTACCGGATGGCGTAGTCCAGGATGACTAGGATGTGCTCATGTCCCCTGGCAGACTTCGGCAGCGGTCCCACCAGATCCATCCAGATCCGCTCGAAGGGCACATCGATGACGGGTAGTGGAATGAGCGGGCTGGGGGGAGGATGACGAGGAGACGTCTGCTGGCAGGTGGGGCAGCTACGGCAGAAGCGTTTCACTTCCGCCTCCAATCCTGGCCAGTGGAAATGGTCCCTGATGCGTTGGATGGTATTTTCGGCCCCGAGGTGCCCCGCCATCGGATGGGCATGTGCCAGCTCCATGACTGTCTCTGTCTTGGTTTTAGGCACGACCAATCGGCCACCACCCGCTTCAGCATCCGTTTGAGCGTCTGGTTAAACCTTTCCACCAAGCCATCCGTCTGCGGGTGGTAGACCGACTTCCTCAGATGTTGTACCTTGAGGAGGCGACAGAGGTCCGCCATGACCCGGGACATGAAGGGGGTACCCTGGTCAGTTAGGATTTCCTTTGGGATCCCGACTCGGCTGGCCAGCATGAATAGCTCTAGGGCAATGTTCTTGGCGTTTGCCGCACGAAGAGGAATGGCTTCCGGGTACCGGATGGCGTAGTCCAGGATGACTAGGATGTGCTCATGTCCCCGGGCAGACTTCGGCAGCGGTCCCACCAGATCCATCCCGATCCGCTCGAAGGGCACATCGATGACGGGTAGTGGAATGAGCGGGCTGGGGGGAGGATGACGAGGAGACGTCTGCTGGCAGGTGGGGCAGCTACGGCAGAAACGTTTCACTTCCGCCTCCAGTCCTGGCCAGTGGAAACGGTCCCTGATGCGTTGGACGGTATTTTTGGCCCCGAGGTGCCCCGCATGGGCATGTCGGATGGGCATGTGCCAGCTCCATGACTGTCTCTGTCTAACTGCCGGAATCCAACAAGGCCTGCACTGGTTTCCCCTCTAGCTTTACCATCCGGCTGGGGCCAGGGGAAGGTCCGTCCTGATGCAGGAAACACCCGGCCATCCAGGCTCGGGCCGTTGGTGCTGGGGGTTCAGTGGGCATTGGCTCATCAACGAATTCGGGGGCCGCCGATCTGCTCACTGGTCACGGTGCACCTTCGAGCGGACGCCGCTCCATCACCCTGCGGGGTGCCAGGCCCGCTCTCTCCCCTGCCTCGCGGGCGTTCGTCGCCTCCGCCAGCTTGACCACTTCAACAAGACTGTGGATGTCCTGTGGATTCTGCATACTGACCGGGCGCCTCAGCGGACGGGGCAGCGCCCGTAACAGCCGATCGACGAGGAATTTCTCCGCTACCTGGTCAGCGGTAGGGGAACCGGAGAGAAGCCACAGGTGAGCCAATCAGGCAAGTTGCGCAGCTTGAGCTCTCACCATCTGCCGTTCATCATAGGTCCATTGGGCTCATCATAGGTCCATTGATAGAACTGTTGCGCAGCCCCCATGGGCGATAGGCCCACCCGGGCTAGGATTTCGGCTTTGAGCTCATCATACTGTTCATTCCGGGGTGCCCTGAGGGCATAATAGGCCCGCTGAGCTTCTCCGGTGAGGAAGGGGGCGATGATGCGAGCCCACTCTTCCGGGACCCACCCCTCCTGGGCCGCAATAACCTCAAAAGTATGGAGGTAAGCCTCGATGTCGTCGTGCTCGGTTAACCTGACGAGGTACTGGTGAGCCTTGACGGGCGATTCCAGGAGGGGCATGCGCCCCGCCACGCTGGCCTGCAGTTGTTCCACGACGCGGTCAGTATACTGCTGTCGTGCGGCCAGTCGCTCGGTAAACTGCTGCTGGCGGGCTGAGAGCTCAGTCAGGCGGCGGATGACCTCTTCCATTTGTCCCATGTGTCCGGGGGAAGAGAAGCGGTTCTCCTAGAAGAAGCACAGAGATCGTTACAGCAACCTGGTGTTACAAGTCTGTCTCAATTCACCTGAGTGTGGCAGCGGCGTTTCCAGGGCGACGCTGATCTGGAACCGGGATACTCACCACAATATATTTGGATGCGATTGATCGCAATTAATCATTTGACAGCACTAATATATATATACCCTTCACAGAGAGGGTCACATATATATATATATATATATATATATATATATGTGTGTGTTTATTTCTTTGCATAAATTCGAACACAGATCATGAAGTTAATTGTTATTCAAGGTCACAAGACTAATATTTATTCAGTGAGAACTAAACATCTCACACTCAAAATGGAACAGCAATACTATTTCTGTAGTACATGGCAATAATCACAGTCTAAGCAAAGAGAATAAAGATATTTATGCTGTGAACGCTGTGTTCTACTGTCTGTCAGAAAGAACACTGTATTCCAAACACAACCCTGCTGGTCGTGGATGCTTTTATAGATCGATATTATTTTCAACGGACACCAAGCGCCTCTCAAATGTCATAATTTGCCTGCCAGCATGTTCTCATAAGCTGATTATTTTACAATACTGATGTGCTCTATTTATCATTTCAAGTGGGTAATTGTTATGTAACTTCTATAGAAATACATAGAAAGGCTTACTGCTGCCGCGTAAGAGGTGGTGTGAGCCAGCAGAGGGCGTTGTTGATTTATCAAGCAATTATCTTTGATAACTGATGGTCTGTTACTGCTAAACCCATAAACGCTGACATCAAACACTACTGGGTCTCGACCGGTTTTACCTCGAGACCTAGATTTTATATTGGACATCAAGTGGCAGCCCAGTATCATAATGTTTGTTTTTGTACAAAGGTAAGTAAAAATTTTTTATTGAAAAACAAACATTGTATAAATACAATCATGAAAAACACGCAAAATTATTAGATTAGACTGAAAAAGAAAAATGCCACTTAGATAAACAACAGAAATGTAATTTTAGGCCTAAAGCAGCAAACCCTGTGCCAAATATTGAATTATCATTAGCCATATTTCTACGTGATAAATTCATCTGGTCGATCAATGCCAATATTTGAACCCTGTTTTTATTTGCTACAAGCTATGCTATTCTATCTACGCACACTCGTATAGTCACTAGTCAGTAGCATCTAGCATTGTTTTTCTCTGCTTTTCATTGTTAGATTACAAACCTCCGACCCATTTTTTTTCACCCACCACTGACACATTCACCCTCGCACCGACAGACAGAAGCCACGGTCATTATATTTTAAACGGGATGCGTGTGCGCGCGCGGACGGAGCGCGTCGTTTTCAGAGAGCTTCTCATCAGTATTATGGAGGTCTATATTTATGTTTATTTAAATCGTCATGTCATCAAGTCTACTAATGCTTATGCTAACAAACATGCGTGGATGTATGTTGATGATTTTAACTCCATGCGTCTGTGATAAATGCACATAAATGTGTATGGATATGTGTGTGTGGGGTGACTCACGCTCTTCCAGCGAGGCACACAGCATATGAGCAGTTCAGCAATCTGTCATTCACAGGCTCTCCCTCACTGTCGTGTGTGTGTGTGTGTGTGTGTGTGTGTGTGTGGAAAGAGAGAGAGAAATAGAACGACAAAGGGAAACACAGTCACCCAGAGACATGGAGATTATAGGCCTATCCTTCTGTATTTGAGTAGCTCTGTGTAAGTTTATATTTGTCCTTGAACCACAACAGACATTTTAGTGTGTGTTTCTGTGTTAAATTTTACACAGGAACACGTTGCTAAATAATAGCTAATTATTAATTGCAAATTATTACACTGATCTCTGGATAGTTCACCCAAAAAGTTTAAATTATGTAATCATTAGCCCCTCTCACACAGTAATACCAGTAAATTGCCTTAAAATTACTGGAATTACTTAAATGACAAAAATATGCTGTTCACACAGGCAATGACGTTCCGTCTTTTTACCGGTAAAGCATTGATTCACACATCAGTTTCAAAATACTGGTAAATTCTGTGACATCATTAACCAGAAATGACCTCTAATGCTGAGTTCACCCTGCACGATTTTCAGAGTCGTTGGATCATGCTTGTTTTCACACTGCACGACTGGGGAAG